TGAATAGAAAGCTTCTCATGCTAATGATCAGTATAACTTAATCACTCCAAACACCTTGGCTGTGAACATTTAAGAATCCTTTAAGCCTTTTAATCTTTTTTTTTTTTTTTTTTAAGCTACAGAATTTCTTCAAGGTTTAAATGTGAGTTTTTATATCTTCTATGAAATTTATGGACTAAAAAATTACACAGAAACTCCATAAATGTAAATTTCATCTCACTTCTCAGGGTTTCTCTCTTCATATGTAGAATAAGCAAGTTGATCAGTGGTTTCTTAGGTCCCTTAACCAGTTCAAACACTGAATGACATTTTTAGCCTCATAAATAAAAAGAAATGGAAAAACTAGGTTGAGCTTGGCAGTACTTAGGGCAAATCACAGCCCACTTCCCACGCCCCCCCCCCTCCCCAAGCTTCCTTGAAAGAGAACTGAGCATGTCCAGTCCCTATTTCCTCATTTCAGTGCATTCTTCTACTTTCCCCATCCCAGTTCTCTGAAACTGCTCTGACTGAGGTCAAAGTCTGTAGACACGCTCCTGTCCTCATCTTGCTGTACTTCTCTGTAGTATTTTACACTGTTGAGCACTCTCCCCTGCTTGGAACTCCATTGCCTGGGCTTCAGAATCCTTTTTTTTTTCTTCTTTTATCTTTGCAGTTACCTATTGGTACTTTTAGAGCACCTCTCAGGTCTTATACCTAGAATTGGGTTCAGTAGGTCTAAGTCTGCTATCACCCCGGGAGAGTGCAACGGGTTTGTCAAGTGTATTATTAACATGACCTTCATTGAGTTGCACATTCCGAGCACACCACACCAAAAGCAGAAGCCATGCAATAAACACAATGGGGTCCTGTGAGAATGGCAGCTGCAACGAAGACGGTGGTGAACTAGTTTGGATGCTGCTTATCCTGTGTGTGCTCATCCTGGCATCTCAGGATGGGGAAAAATGAGTAGGAGGGATTGCAAGGGAAAATTCCGCACTTAAAGCAGAGCTTGCCTGGGAGATAGCAACTACTATTGTGTTTGGGCACAGTCGGCTGAAGCGGATACGGTTTCATAGGCCAACGTGACCCTGGAAAGTCAGACTCTCCTTATTGGACTGAACTGAAGACACTTTCCTGACAAATGAACAACAGGATTTTTACTTTTTTAACTAATTGTGTAAAGACCTATATATTCATTTTGTCCTATATCCAGAGTATCAGCTTCCAGTGCTTAATTAGGATAACTCCCATGAACTCCCTCTTTCTAGCCCTTAAAAACCCTTGACTTTTTCCTGTTTAAATTAGGTAGTGGATTAAGTTTAATCATTATTCACTGATCCCTCTTAATAAAGATTTTTGAAGGCTGTAAGTTAAGAGTACAGGACACATTTTTTATGACATTAAAACACAGAAAGATATAAACAAACTGACTTTTGAAATGGTAAACTATTTCAGCAAAATGTTAAAAGTAGAGAAATGACTTATACACAGAGAATAAAAATGTGTTAGTCTGAATTCTGCAGATTTAACATCTTTGTTAAATTACAAATTGCATTTTCTTTTAAAAAGCAGCTGTAGATTTAAAGATTAAGTAGAAATGTTAATATGTTGACCTATACATAATTTTTAATTTTTAAAGTAACAAAGTTAAATGTTTTTAACATAAATAATGTAATATTAAGAAATATTTTTCTGATTTTTTTCCTGATGCTTCTTTGCACATTACCTAGTTAGCAATGTTTAGTAAAATTATAATTATTCATTAGCATAAATCAGGGACATTTCTAATAAGTATTTTAGATTACATATGAATTTGGTTGTCTCTACACTAAAGCAAAATATTCTGTATGTTCAATCACATATTCATTTCTGAGTCAGAGTAATTTAAACAGAATTTTTATAGCACATATGAAATGTAATTAGTGTATAGTGTTAGTAGCTTTGGGGACTTATGTAACAGAAGAAATACATATAAAGCTGGAATTTAACCTACTTTTGTGTTTTAAAAATTTGATCAGGTTGTGACAGAAACAAAGCCTAAAAAAGAAACAAAACTAATTACCTCTTTCCAATCAAATCATTAATGCAAATTTTGGGAGTATTAAGTACATGGAACAGAAAACAAAAGTAAAAGAACAGCCATCCCTGAAGTTAACCATTCTAATAAAAAGTGTACTGATAATCCAAATTGCGAGTGATTTTTTAAATATTCAGTGGAGAAACTAAATAAATGGTAAAAAATGAAATGGGAATTTAATAAACAAAATAAACTGACAAACAAATTAGGGCCAGAGACATGTCTGCATAGAACAGAATAACAGAGCTCAGTGGAGGGAAGTGGGGACAGGGAGAGATTAATCAAAGAACATGTATGCATATATGCATAACCCATGGACACAGACAATAGTACAGGGAAGGCCTGGGGTGGGGCGAGGGTTGGGTGGAGCGCAGGAAAAAGGGAGAAAATGGGAGACATCTGTAATACTGTCAACAATAAAAAATAAATAAAAATAATACATTTTTTCTAAAAAAAAATTTAATTGCTCATTTTTAAATTAAAAAAAAAAAAAAGCGGGAAAATGATGTATGAAGAGTGACTTTCACCTGATCAAAGCTTTGGTTTCATGATAGAGAAATATTTCTGTGAAATGAAAATGTTCTCAAGCTTTCAGAACTAAAAACTATTCACTGTGTTTATAACGTGGGAGGTTATAGTAAAGTACCCCCAGGATATAACTGTCTTTATCGTGGAGCAGGATCAATCAGACAAGTTTTATTCCAATGAATTAATTATTCAAGTTCTATGACTTCACTTGCTCTGATTCCATGGGCTCTGTATTAGTTTGCTAGGGCTGCCAGAACAAACACCACAAACTGGGTGGTTTATGCAACAGATATTTTATTTCCTCACAGCCTGGAGGCTAGAAGTCCAAGATCAAGGTGTCCAAGGTTGGTTTCCTTCTGAAGCCTCTCCCCTTGGCTTGTAGATGGTCCCATTTTGCCTTTGTCATCACATGGTCTTCCCTGTCTTAAACTCTTCTTATAAGGATGCCAGTTATATTGGATTAGGGCCCACTCATATGGCCTCATTTTACTTTAATTACCTCTTGAAAGGCCCTATCTCCAAGTATAGTCATTCTAAGGTACTGGGGGTTAGGCCTTCAACATATGAATTTTAGGGGGATACACAATTCAGCCCATTAACTGATTCCAACATCCTTTGAGTTATAAATTGAATTCTTAGAAAGAACAGATTCAAGCCCGGCAAGGTGTGGCTCAGCGGTTGAGCATCAACCTAGGATCCAGGCAATTGGGGTTCGATTCCCGGTCAGGGCACCTGCCCGGGTTGCAGGCTCGATCCCCGGTCGTGGGCATGCAGGAGGCAGCCAATCAATGACTCTCTCATCATTGTTTCTATCTCTCTCTACATCTTCTCTAAAATCAATAAAGATTTTATTTTTTATTTTTAAAGAAAATTCAAGAATAGAATATGCTTAGTCAAGGCAATACTGGTATTCTTGTCTACAGGACATTGATATTTCTCACAGTCATGATAAATTACTATTCTGAGTTAACAATTTATTACTGTACATTTGATCAATGTAAATCTGTCCCTGGGAGATGTCTTTCTTTCCAGGACGTCCAACCAATCTGAATTTTGAACCTGCGTTGTCAGAATCATTTATTTGATGTTTCATTTTCCATTTGAAGAATCCACTACCAAAACTACTGTGCTAGCCTAGGTTCCCTAGAGCCTGCCATAAACAAACAACAATAAACATTGAACTGCTGCCACTTTATTGGGGGACACTATTTCTGGGAAGCGGAAGTTATGAACAGATACAAGTGAGGCAGGCAGTGGAGATGGGAACACACATATAGGTGTTATTGAGCTGGCCATAGCTTTGGAATAAGTGCAGTTAATCCCTCAGTCTTTTAGGATATTTTCATGGAGGCCTATGGATTATTGCACTTCAGAACAGACCATCTGGGGGAAAGGAAGGGAGAATTTATCCACTAGCTCCTTTTTTTTTTTTTTTTTTAAAAATATATCTTTATTGACTTCAGAGAGAGGGACAGAGAGAGAGAGATAGAAACATCAAGGATGAGAGTCATTGATCAGCTGCCTCCTGCATGCCCCAGACTGGGGATCGAGCCCACAACCTGGGCATGTGCCCTGACCAGGAATCGAACCGCTATCTCCTGGATCATAGGTCGATGCTCAATCGCTGAGCCATGCCCGGCAGGGCCCAGCTCCTTGTGATGCATCTCTTTGGTCAAAGTTCACCCCTCAAGTAGGTTGCCAGATTTAGCAAATAAATGGTAAATAATAAATATTCCCGTGCAATTAGTAACAGAATCACACTAGAACTATTAGAGTTATTCATTGATTTTCTGCAATTCAGATTTAACTATGTGTCCTGTATTTTACTGGCAGTTGTACTCTCAGGACATTAACACCCATGCATTGCTAGGCAGCTTCAGGGAAGCCTGAGCCTCCACAGACACTGTCCACAGGCTCCAATGTTGGTTTCTCCTCCTCAGTACAGCAGTGTGGCAGTGGCAGTGGTGGTGATGGTGATGGAGCAGCAGCAGCAGTGACCACTTTGGTGTCACAGAGCAGCTCCAAGTCACTGGCCAAGAGGCAAGGTGAGAGATGGAGGTAGTGACGGGGAGGGGTGTGGGCAGGAGAATTGCAGGTATGGCCACATGGATGTGGAATGATAAATAATATAATTTTCTGTAAAGATGAATCAATATTCATTATAATATCTTGTTAGTATCTGTAGGACCATACTGCACTAGTCACTAGAAATATAGTAATGAATGAGACAAGAGTTCCTTCTATCTGGGAGCTTACAGAATATAGTGCGACTATTGTGTTGAAAAAACACAAGTCCTGGTTTAAAAAACTTAATGCATGCGAAAAGAAATGATTTTAGGAATACCAATTTATTAGATGGATGTTTTCTAAATGACTACTTTGGCAAAAACAAACAAAACTCCCAAGACTCCAAAACTATCATACATAGTGCTTTTTATTTAGATGTTTATAAGGCAGATCTATGAGAATGATATAAAAACATGGCATGTAACTTGATAGCAATCATTTGGTGATTACAGAGTTTTAGCAAATATCTATTACACAGTTATAAAGAAGACTTTTATTAGCAGATACAAAATATCTAATCAAAGATCAAGGCAAGAAGATGAGTCTATTTAATTAACAATGAAAAACCAATTCTAATGTGAATTGCAGATTATCCTTTAAAAACTTTTAAAGGTAAGAATTATTGCATTCTAGTTTATTCAAACAGTGTTAAACGGTATCATGACGAAAAACTGAAGGCCAGAATGGATTGATTCTGACTTCATGTAAAGAAACCCAAATTTACAATGGCTTAAATACAGGAAAAGGCAGTCCAAGTAGTGAAACAGTCAAGATCTCTTTAGTCACTAACATGCCTTCCTTAGGGTGTGGCCTTGGTCCTCTTGGATAGGTCAAGGCTCCTGTTATTTCCATAGTTCCAGCAGCAAGATGGAGCAATAAAGGTAAAAAACTCGTGCTGCTTTCCTTTGAAGAGACTTCCTTTCCTGCAAGTCACTCATACATTCCCCCTGCATGTCACTGGACAACACTCAGTCACATGGGGCCACCTGACTGCAAGGGCGGCTGAGGAATTTGATGGTCAGCAGATTGTAAAGAAGTAGAGTAACTAGACACTGAGAGACAACTTTCAGTCCCTATTCAGGATGGGGATCTGAAAAACTATGTAAAACCTTTAAAGAAAATCTTAGAATATTTCCTAGAAGTTGGCATCTTGGAAATCATACAAAAGCCCCTGCTTTGGTGATTTAACTTAGCCGGTCCAGTCACTGGGAGTATCCATACAGTTGGCCCTAATTTTGAATGGCTGCATGAATGAAAATCCAATGATTTGGAAAGTGAAAGATCTCAGTATGCACATGTGTTAGGCTGAATTAAACGTTGTTTTGGTATCATATGGGCAGAATCTCTGAATATTTGCACTTCATAATTTTTCATATTAAAAAAACTGAAGAACCATTTCATTCCTGTAAAATTCACTACAGAATGTGTTTTCACTAAAATTATTACATTTCCATTTAGAGCAATTACATATAGTGAATATATACCAGAATTTGTTTCACTGACTTATGAAGAATTGAAGGTGGAACATCTCCTTTTCATGATGACACATCACAAATAATAATCTTAACACTGGACCAAGGTGTGTTACACTATGAGTAGCACTGCTTCAAGTCATGAATTTACAAAATAATTTGAACATGACATTTTCAACTGTTTAAACACTTATTTCAAAACAGATTTTATAGACTGACACAGGTTCAGTGTTTACAGTATTCCTAAAGAAATACCTATGAATTACATTTATGGTACTTTATTTAAAATAGCACATAAAAAACCTTAAATTTCACAAATAAACCTCTTTTGGGGGGGTCCTCTCTGTACAGAATTTATTATGAAATAGTTTAATGGCAAAAGGTAATTTAAAAGAATTAAAGTTTTATCATATTTCATAGGAGATAAACAATACAAACACTGGATGTGATATATTCTTGAAGCCCTTTTATTCAAATAATTTTCATAATCTGACTGTATGAATATACCTTATGTTACTATTATCAAATTAACTTTGAAAGAAATTCCTTAATCAAGTCAAGAAATTCCTTAATCAAATTCCTTAATCAATAATGCCAATTTATTAGAAAATAATCTGGTAGTTTTAACACTAAAGCTCGTTAGCCAATCCCATACATTGCACAAAATAATCATCTCTGATAAATAGCTATAAATATAATTTATTCATACTTTAAAATATTTTAAAATTTAAATAAAAATCTCTACATGTAGGCAATCTCAGCTAAATTTCCATAAATGCTATGAAAAATATGTTAGCATGAATATATTCATATTTAAACATAATTTTAAAAATTATTAATAGAGGAGACATATGACATCTGCACAACAAAGCTAAGTAGCATCATCAGTCCAGGATTATTTTATTCTTAGGAAAAAAATTACTTGATTTTTTTTTGCATAGGTTTAAGACTGGATATATTTTCTACATTCTTACAATTTTCTCAGGGGCACTTCTCAAAGTATAGATTAGAAAACAAATTTCCATTACTTTAAAGTACCCACCACTTTTTCACATTTAGTAAGAACAGAATTCAGTCCTACTTCTGAGGCCAGACTAATGATTTTTTATGAAAACGATTATGAAAAGTAGTGATGAAGAAAAATAATCAGGTAGGAAATAGTAAAGCAATTAAAAGTCAAATAAAGCAATTAAGTCAATATTTTTGCACTTTTGAAAGGCTTTTAAATATTGAGAATTATGAATTTATTACATTTATTCTAACACTTCAAAATTAATTTCATCTTTGTAAAGGAGAAAAGGAGATACCATTTGAAACAAGTTACATCTTACATATATTCTCATAAATTTCATTTTTTCATATTTTCAAAGTCCCCATTTATCTCCCAAAGTGATTTTATTTCTATTATTGGCTACTTAATATACATATGCAACAATATGCTTCAATAGTAATCTAATTTTAAAAATATTTCATTGTATTTTCACATTAAATGGTGAACATAAGATCTTCAGGCAGTGAAATTTAAGGAACAAGAAAATATTGAAAATATGCTGTTGATTTCACTAGTCCACTAAACAGTTTATAGGTATTTACCTTTAAAAGTTATCACCCAGTCAAATCGCTACTAAGAACTAACAAGTAAGTGATTATCAAGAGGGGAAGATTATAATTAAAATAAAGAAAATAGAGAGCTCAATTAAAAAGTAAAAGATATTAAAATTCACCAAGGAGAGAACATTAGAGAATCATGAGTGATTTACCAAACTGACACAATGCATAGTAGGGAAAGAGCCATTGGTGGAAAAGGTAGCCTCCACTAAGTAAACATCCTTTTATTTCTGTCAGCTGGATTCAGTAGTCCCTCAGACTCAGAGAGTGAGTTTACAAATGTTATAATTTCAGAGGAATGTATTTCATCTGCAATTTTTTATTTTAATAGGAAAGAACATACGGGTGAAAATGTAGGGTGTTCTAACCCAAGTGTGAATAAAATGCAATTTTAATGTGGCATGTCAGCACTGAAAAATTTTATGAATAATTTGTATGATTATATGTCTCTAGAGCAGATTTTTAATTAACCACTTACCCTAATCTCCTTCATGCTTGCAAACTGCTCCCTAATGAATGGCTGAGCAGGCAGTAGGACTTCCCAAGAAGAGAAAAGGAGATGACCAACCTACAGGGACTTTTTAAGATTCTGTAGGACGTCAGACATTTATTAAAACTGCCCTTGTCCTATCTCTGCTGGAGTCCCTCACGCTTATTGGGAGGCATAAGGACTGCCATGGGTCTCCAGGGTCATGGCTCAGGCAAGATCTTCCCCCAAGGCAAGTAACTGTGCATTGTCCCACAATTTGATAACCACAACTCCCTCTCAAGAATATCAATGCCTTGGCAACATAATGTAATGCATGGAGATGGAGTAGGGGCCACACAGCCTGGAGGTTAGAATCAGCCTCTGGAACAGACTGCCGGGGCTTGAATGCTGGCTCTGCATGACCTTGGGCAAGTGACTTAACTTTTCTATCCTTCAGTTTTCTCATATGTAAAATGAAGATGATAACTACCTCTGTCATGGGATTGTTTTAAGCATAAAATGGGATAATACAAGTAAAGTGCTTAGAACAACAGGTGGCATTTTATAATCCCTCAATGAATTGTAAAATCCTATACCATAGAGAGTGGTGACTGGCTAAGGTGCAACAACAGAGATCAGTTGACAAACAACTACCTGTGTGTAAACCTACTACTTTCCCTCTAACTAGAAACAATTATACGATTTCCAGGATTGGTACTATATTAGCAAAATCAGTTATGGAGGCCAAGTATGGCTGTCTTCTCCTGGACAACATATTAATATTCAAAGGGAACTGCTTTGTAACAAGATAAAGAAAATCTTTCATGAGGTACGCATTATCAGAATATCTTTCATGTCTCCAATGCATTTTAAATATCACTTCAGGTTCAATTTGTCTTTTCAGTTTGTGTTTGTTCACATAATCACACTGATTCACAAAATTAATGATATTCTTCAAATCCTGTCTTATGAGAGAAATATAGGAATATAGCCATGCACCCTTTCCTAGATGCTAATATAATGCATCCTTTCTTAAAAAAAATATATGATTATGCATTTCTATTTCTTACACTGGATAATGATTAAAACCTTACTTGAGCTTCAGAAAAAAACTTATCTATTGAATTATATTAAAACCTAAAATTCTGCTGGTTTGCAAAGTGTTTTTAACATTATATTGTATCTATATTATTAACTATAAACATTTTGGCCTGATTAAGAATAGAGTTTGTTAAAATAACAGTAATGTCACAGTTGTGCAAAACAAAAAACATATCTAAATTTCAACAATAAGTTAACTACAAATATCCATATTGGCAAAAAATGACATTTGTGAAAATGAATTTGAAGAAAATTCTACCACTATTTAGCTGAGACCACACTGAACAAGTTTCAGCACACAGAAATGGACAGCGCACTGGGAACTGAACACACGGGAAGTCATAAAAAGGATGGCATGGGCAGGGCCTCTTTATGGCATCAGCGAGCACCATTTATCATCACATCACTGTGACCCTCTCTGGTGAGAAATGAGGCACTGCGCCTCCAAGACCTTCTTCTAGAAATTGGCTCTTTTCCCAGCCTTTTTTAATTCTCTTTAGCTTTTGGCTTATACATGGAAGAAGTAAAATGCTCTTACCCAGAATTACAATTGAGGGCAAAACGAGAGCAAGAACGAAGTTTGGTGGTGTATAAAACCTGTAGTACTCTTCTTCGAAAGCTCGTTTCCATCCATAAATTAAAACATGGAAAGTGCTTATGAGCAGAGCCACGTAGCCGAGTGTAGACTTTGGAGGGAGGAGTAAGAAAAAGAAACAAAGAAATAAGAGACAAATTATTCAAACTCATCAATAAACCTACCCAGGTATACCATCTTTATATTTTGAAAAAAACTATTTTATCTTAAATTACTGAGCTACTTTTTGTTCTCTACTAAATTAAAAATTTAAACATTTTCATATATATTTATATGCATGCTTTATTTTACACAAATAAGACCACACTGCCTATAGTTTAATGTTCTATTTCATTTATTATATGAAGAACTTTTTCCTCATGTCATTAAGTATAAGGACATAGCTTGAATGCTGTATGACATTCCATTGAATGAATGTGCTATAGTTTATTTAACCATTCCTTTTGTTGATCATTTACTGTTTCCAGCTTTCCTCAACTCTAAATAATGTCACTTGAAGCCCTTTTCTATATTGTGATTTATTTCCTTTGAACTGATTTCTTATAGTGGGATTGCTAGTCAAATCATCTGGCTTTACCTTAAGGGTGTTGATAAAAACTGCTAAACTTCTTCATAAAGGTTATTCACATTTCTGCTAGTTGTGTGTATTACAAAAACGGGTGTGTTTATATATGTATGCATACATATATATACATACATACATATATAATAAAATTAAATGCTCAAGAGCATTCTCACGGGGGTATATACACATTCATATGCACATACTAACTGAAGGTAAATATGAAAAATAGTATATGCTAGTAAGTAATATAAATAGCATTTCAAACATGTGGCTTCATTGGCCTTATTAAATAAGATTATTAAAAGCAGTTAAGCAGTTTATAAGTTAAAATCTAAAAGTTCAGCATTCCTGGTTCCCTAAATTATTATGTTCAATTGTATTATTACATTCATAGAATGATGTAACATCTAATTTCACTGGGAAAGGATCAAAATTCTAGCAGAAAACTGTTCTGTTTGCAATTACTCATCTAAATTTATAATGATAATTTGCACCCATATAGCACATTTTATCTGAGGGCCTTGTATTTCTTTCCAAGTGTGACTGAACTAGCACTTGGAAAAGTATTCACATTTTCTTTCCTTCAAAAGAAGAAAAATGAATTTAGACAAGGGAAATGTCCTTAATTTGAATGAGATTTTTAGATAACTTAAAAACATAAAAGCTCAAGCAAATAGGCACCCCCCCCCCAATTTAGTGTATCACCAAATGATACTCGTTGGCATTATAGTGCTATAAACCTCTTGTATCCAACCAATACTGATTTTGTGATAATATAGGTAGGGTCTATGTTTGAGTTACATATTTTTAAATATGCAAATTTAGCTTCAGCTGGTGTGACTCAGTTGGTTGGAGCATCCTCCGTACACCAAAAGGTCTTGGGTTCGATCCCTGGTCGGGGTGTGTGCAGGATGCAACCAAAAGATGTTTCTCTCTCTCCATCTCTCCCTTCCTCTCCCTCTAAAATCAATAAAAGCATGTTCTCAGGTGACGATTTTAAAAAAATGCGAATTTATTAAATAAGGATAAATGGAGGCAAATATTCAATTTATTAAAGAACAATGGTGTTTTGAAATCTTTTTGTACACACTCATATACATACGTATATAGCTTATATACTAAATATACTAACAAGTTCATAAGGCTGGTAGCTTGTCATAATCCATTAACCTAGTTATCTGATTTGCTACTGTTTGTGTTTGTGTATGTGTACACACACATTTCTCATAAAATATTCGACTGACATTCTCCTCACTTGAATTCAAATCAATGAGATTTTTCTAGGCATAGCAAGATGACTCAAAATATAAAATAAAATAAAAAATAAAATAAAATAAAATAATTCTTCATTCATTTGGCTAATAATACACTGACCATTGACTTTTGGCATTAAACTTGTTCTAAGCTCACACATCCCCACCTTCTTTTTCTTATTAAAATAACCTTTATCCATAGCATAGCAGGCAATGCTATCAAAGCCTTCCAATAAAAACCTGTTCTGGTCTTTCACTTACTAAACTAGCATGATCCTAGGCTAGCCTCCAACAATATGAGTTCGCCAAGCTTACTTGCAAAAATGCAGCCCCCAAAGGCAATCTTTTCATGAGAAGCATATTTAAAGTCAACAGTACTTAACACTTTAATTCTATGCAGCCCATTCCCTCACCAAACAGAACCCCACATACCTGAATAAAACTGAATTCCCTCCAGTTTAAAGCATTGCTCACTGAAGGGATGGAGGTGACTGCCAGGAGGGACAGTAAGCCCAGGCTCATTATGCCAAAGGAGATATACATTTCAATTCTCCAAACTTCTTCCTCATTCCAAGAGTTTTCAATGTTTGCATGAACCTAACAAGAGAACGAACGTGAATTTCCCTTATTTGGCAGAACATTAACTGATTCAGCACAGAGTTCACTCTTGGCATAAGAATACGTCACATATGGACATACTTAAGTTGTATTAATTCAATTTAACAAACTGTTATGAGGAATCTATTACATTGTTCTAGGCGTGGGAGAAAGAGAATGGAGAGTTAAACAAAAAGAGGGACTAGGATTCTCTCCTTCCTTGCACACACGTGAGAAGAGTCGGTAAACCTGTAATGCATCACGGTTACAGGGACTCTGGCATCGAGACCATGAAATGCCGAGGGGTAGGTTCCGGGTGACACAGAAGAAACAGTGGCAGTTAGACTTAGTTTTGAGGTACTTTTACAAGTTGGTTTAACTTGATTGAATATTTTGGGTACATGCTCAACTTAGTTCAACTTAGAATTTTTAAACTACTGCTGTATGTTCCTTTCTCACATCAAGAATATATGTTCATTTATCTCTTTCTTCTTACCCTTTGTTCCACAGGAAGCTGAGATTTCCCTGAGGATAAAGCCCTACCGAATGCAAATATTTATCCACTTGAATTGCCTCATTATTTAAAATACATTTCCAACTGTCCAACTGCCTCATTCCTATACAGCGCTTTTCCAAATGTCTTCCCCTTACCTCGAGAATGCGTATGTAACCAAGCCAGACTTGATTAACTCTGAAGGCGCGGTATTCTGCATAGGGACCGCTTTTAGAATATCTAGTTACAAGCAAACAGCATGAAGGTATAAATCAAGGGTTGGACTCCTCTGGCCAAAGCTCTGATTTACGTAAGTATCTATTCATGGAAAACAGATTCTAATGTAACACCACCTTAACGTTGTCTAGTTGCAGTTAACCAAACATACTTGAAATTAAAGCAAAGCAAAGCTAGATCTTAGCCATTAGGTCCAGAGAGTTCCTCTGTCGAAAAAGGCTCTTCCTATCTCATCTGATGTCTGCACAACAATACAGAACAACAGCACACCTCGGTATACCCAGAGGTTACAACCTGCATCTTCCTGCCCTCCCAGTTCATTCCTTCACTCCGTAAATATGCTTTCAGAGTGTCGACTATGTACCAGGCACAGTTCTAGACATTAGGCATATATCAGTGAACAAAATGCATAAAAATCCCTCCTGTCATGAACTTAAAAGAGTAAAGACAGAAAATATATAAAATGGAGCCATCTTAACCAAGCTGCTACAATTATTAATGTTATGAAGGTTGAGGCATGAGGAAAGACTCCATTCTTGTTACAACTAGCCTGGGAACTTAAACTTTCTAGTGCTGCATTAATGCCTGGATATACAGCTGACCACCAGGGAACTCTCTGATTATCCCCTGAAGGACTCATGTGTGTATCCACCTGGCACCCATCATCCTAACTGCCTGGCATCTGGCTGGTAACTGTCCTGGACCAACCCTAGGGCTATGAATGCAGGACTGACAATTCTCAAGAATACACTATTTACAATAAGAACTTTTAACTTCTTTTTCTTTGGGTTTTTGCCTACCTGCATTCACAGTTTGCAAACTCCAAGACCCCTGAATAAATCTCTATCATTTATTTCTAGCAGAGCCTCCAGGCTGAGTTTATTCAGGATTACGTTCTGATGAGAGGGCAGATAACAATAACAGACAAGGAAAACATCAAGGGTGTTAAAAGGTGGTGAACTGCTATTGACAAAAGAGAAAGTAGAGCAGAGTAAGAGTGCCTAGGAGCCCGGGGTTGGGCCAGAAGCAGGTAGCAGAATTTAAAATGGTGTCCAACGTAGGCCTCATTGAGGGGTGAGATCTGAGCAAACGGCTTGAAGGAGGGCGGACGCTGGAAGAGCAGATTGAAACCTCAGTATTCAGGTAACAGAATTAATATTTTTAGGAAAAGAATGGCTTAAAAGCATTGATGTACTAATTTCTTTTCAAATGATTTTAGGTTGAAATTGTTGAAACACATGTAAGTACCAGACCCTACATACTTGGCCGATGATGCCTTGGTTCCTTATAAAAAGAAAAAGCTGTTACACATTTGTTTTGGTGCAGTGTCCTCGGCTTTCACTGAGAAATGCTACATCAAAGAGCTGCAATGATACCCTTTATTTTACATTCACTGAATGGGAATTATTGAGGAAATCAGTCTACTCCAGCATTAAGCTCCCTCTGTGAAGCTCTCCTTGAGATTTCCTTGAGCTAAGTGCTAGAAAAGCTTCACCTCAGGAACTAGTATCTTTCTTGCTTTTTGAGAACAAAAACGTGGTAAGTGCATGTCTCCTGATCTTGACTCCCTATTGTTTTATGTTTGCACTGGTTCTAATTTTACTGTATACATTTACTAAGAATTGCCTTAATGTTTCATGGAACATTGCCAATTACAAAACATTAAAATAATGAGCTGTTCAGTACTAAAAGCAATCATCGCAATAATAACATTAAAAAAAAAAGGAAAAAATCCCCAATCCTTTATTTCTCTGCTTTTACTCTGCAAAGAAAGGGATGGTTGCAGATTTTACCCTAAATGATTTTGCAGAAACATTGTTTAAAGAACAAAACTTCCCCGCCCTAAATAAACCAAGCTATGCAAAGTTGTACCCTATTTTTAATCTTACGTTTTACAAATTATATTAAGCATCAGATAAGTAACAAGCACGGCCCATACCTGCTGATAAGCCATGTTGAGAAACAAGTATCTCTCTGACCTTCTCATCGGTAAACAGAGGCTGTAGGCAACATGGACCGAAGTGAAGAAAAAACTTAGTAATCCAAGCTGTTTTCTACACTGCAACCAGGTCTCCAGCCAAGGTGGAAATCTCCTGTACTTGGTGCCGTAATAAAGTTGATAGGCAGCTGCCAGGAGCCCTGCTAGGTATACCAGGGACAGCAAAGTAATGGCAACTATGGGCAAGGTTTTATTCACAATCTCAATAGGAATCTTGTAAAAGTCACTCTGCTGGTTTTTAGCATATGGATGTATCACATCTCTGACAAAGGAATAAAGAAAGAAAAACGTGGCCAGGCTTATGGCGACCACCACTGGCCCTCTCCAGAGGGTAAACAGTCGCAGGGGTAAATTCTCAATCTCTCTGGCGGATGACAACGATCCCAAGTCAACGGGAATAAAATTCAACTGCCGGGCAAGTTCGACAACCTGCTGTCGAGCTTGAATGTTGTTGCTGCAAATATAAACCTGCAGCAAAAACAAAAGACACATCATTATTATTGTTGCTTACAAAAATGGTAATGATCCCACACTCCACTTAATCTATGGAGCATCACTTGTGATGACCCTGAGTGATGCAAAAAGTTAGGAGATAATGCATTTATTAATTTATTATTTATTAATAGAATAAAATAGTGTCATTAAAAAAAACAAAGTCCCTGCTACCTGATTCTGCCTAGTAGAGTGCTCACAAGCACTGCCCTTTACAGATATTCAGCAAGAGAGAAGATGGGCATGGACTCAGGACTGAATTTGCAATTAAAACCTCTAAATTATATAATGGTGCTGTATTATTTATAAAATTTATCTTTTGGCTTAGAAACCAGTTCGCTGGGTATCACTGAAAAACCGTGGATTATCTCAAATATATTACTTCATGGGTCAGAATATGAGATTCTTTCATCTTTAAATGAATGACAGTATTCCTAGAGAGGGGAAAAATGGTATAATAAGGCTTAGTAATTTAGAAAATAAATCAACTGCCATTTTCTAACACTAGCTGTATGAGAACACTAATGATGTGACGGGTGGAGGTGAGGGTGGGCTTTCAAACTACCAGCACCTCTTAGAGATACTACTGCAGATGAAGATTCAACAAATATTTGTTGAGCACCAAATTCATTGCTGGAGTGAGCCAATATTATTTATGGGTAGCTCTCACTTAGAGCTAGAAAAATACTGCTATGAAGTAATGCTTGGGGAAAACAGATTCCTAAATATATCATGCCTGAAGACGTTTATATAAGGGTTCTGGAGCAGACCATACTGAAACACTGGCATGCGAAGCCTATTTACATTATGCTGACAATGTAAAACTCTTTGGATTATTAATTTTACCTAATATTAGGCAGATGAGTGACAAAGTTTATACTATTATACAAATGTTCATGAACTTCTAAAATGGAGTGGGGAACACTACCTATATAACAAAGAAATAAGGAAAAGCATTGTCAATTAATTTATTACAGTGTGACAGTGGTGAAGTGAACTTTTTTATTTGTTGGAAAAAACACTACAAATTATGAAATTTAATAATGAGCCTAAAAGTAGAAATCAAACAAGTAGAAATCAAACATTCATAATAAGGAAATGAGCACTATGAAATACAAATGAAATGATTTCTGTAGCCCACTTTGAATTAAATCATAGTTCCACAATTTTGTTGTTGTTGTTAAAGAGTTAAAATTATCACAAATATGGCAAAGGATTAAAGTCAGGCTTATCCCTAATTTAGTCTGTATCCATTGCTAAACTTTAGTGGATACGCAAAAGGAAAAAAGGATCCTAGAAATAGCCTCTAGGAAAATTGGAAAAAATATATATTCTTTTACTAGGCTTCCAAATGAAAGACCTGAAAGTGAATGGTTATCATGACTGATATGCAACATGCAGTGATAAGATGCTTGAATTTATTTTCTAAGACCCCTAATCAATTGTCTTTATGGACAAAAATAATAAAAGTATTTTATCATCATGCTTAATTATAATGCATAACCACATCTTTAAAAGGTTTTTAAGGCGCACTATTTATATGTTTACTCATAAAAGCTCTCATTCCACAAAGGCATTGATGGGGTTCCCCATTTACTTCTATTTTCAAATTGAACTAGGCAGAACCCCTAGACTAAAAGAGAACCTAAGAAGTCCAATCTGCCTCTATTTTCCTCACACGAACTAAAATCTACATTTAAAATAAAACAAACTGTACTACTGTGTTTTAATAAATTCTATGAATAATCTACGTGAAATAAAATGGACTTCCAAAGCATTCTTCCTGAGGATCACATTAAATAGCATTTCATACAGAATGAAACACTGCTACCAAATGGCTGCAGGGAAGGAAGGGGGAGAAAGAGAGAGGCCTTTTTGGCTGTTGTTTCTATTTCTGGGGAAGCAAGGACAGACTCAATGCAATGTGTCCCATTATTCATCAGCCAGCCTTGCCTTTCCTTGAACTAGCCTGTTACGACGGAAAAGTCCAAAGTTATTTTCTCAGCTTTCCGCATGATTCTGAGAACAGAAATGTGCCCCTACAAGGTCAGGATGTGAACTTTCAGGTGCTCATTCATAGTTTTCAAAATGATAATCATTGGAGGGTATCAGAATTTGGTTTTTAAATGGATGCTATTTGTTTAACTACATAACTAAAAATACCAGATAAACAAGAATAAAATTTAAAAACACATACCTGCCGGCTGGCATCCTTAGGTCCTAACTGAAGTGCCCAAGCTGAGATAACATTGAATCCTTTGACAACCAGTGAATCCGGGAACAAGGAAGCCAGATATTCAGCATTGGATTCTGGATATTGGTTTACTTTCATGTTATTGCTCACATCAATCAGGATTTTACCCACGAGCAGATGTCTCAGGTCCCACAGGGAGGTGTAATGTTCTCTATGTAGAGCAACAAATATTATATTTGTTTTCGTTAGCGCATCTTCATGATGAGTGACATCTACCACATGAGGAAAAAATTCAGAAGCAACTTTGGGATTTCTACTTCCTATGACCACATGATAGCCACATCTAATAAGTCGAATGGTCAGGGATTTTGCAAAATCCCCACTTCCAATTACACCTACAGTGACCTTCCTTGCATCTTTGATACCATTTATGCCATTAGGCAAAAACGTTTCACTAAGGCTCTTAGGGCTTCCCATCACAGAGATCGATTCCATGACACAGACTCTTCCAAGATCGCTGGATATCCTAGGGGAGAGAAAATAAAATCTTCATGAATTACCTCTTATCAAACATTAATATGCTTCTCGACATTATAATATGCCCCTTGTGTCTAGACGTAAAATATTTCAGAGCAAGCTATAGAACCTAGAACACAGTAAGACACAATTTGTAAGCTAGAAAAGGATCTCGAAGTAGAAAAATGACCTGTCACAAAGTTGATATGCTAAAGTGGGGCTTCTCAAATTTTAATGTGCACATGAATCACCTGAGAATCTTGTTAAAACGCTGATTCTGATACAGCAGTTTTGGAGTGAGGCCCAAGATTCTGCATTTCTAACAAGGTGAGCTGATCCTGCTGGTCTTCAGACCCCTCTTTGAGCAGCAAGGCACTAGAGAAAAGAAAGAGATTGATGTCCTCACCTAGAACGTTTTCAAAAACACAGTTCTAACAAACCTGACTACCCAGTTTCTCCGCAGATCAGAGGCAGCAAATCACAAAAGCTGCCAGAAGTAGAAAGGACTGTGATAGGACATGATAGCACACAGGACAACAGAAGACAGAAAAACTATAAAAAGCAAAGAGCCCTGGCTGGGTAGCTCAGCTGATTAGAGTGTCCCCCTGATACACCAAGGTTGTGGGGTTTGATCTCCAGTAAGGGCACACACAAGAATCAACCAATGAATGCATACATAAGTGAGAATAAATCGATATTTCTCTCTTTTTTTCTCTCCCTTCCTCTCTCTCTAAAATCAATCAATAAATTTTTAAAAAATATTTTATTGATTTCAGAGAGAGGAAGGGGGAGAGAGAGACAGACAGAGAGAGACAGAGAGAGAGAGAGAAACATCAATAATGAGAGAGTCACTGATCGGCTGCCTCCTGCACGCCTCCTACTGGGATTCGAGCCCACAACCTGGGCATGTGCCCTGACTGGGAATTGAACTGAGATCTCCTGGATCCTAGGTCGATGCTCAACCACTGAGCCATGCCAGCTGGGCAATCAATAACTTTTTTTAAAAAAAATCCTTAAATCCAAACTGTCTAGAGTCATTTGGGGTGGAGTCCATAAACTATCCTATACCCCTCAGTAAATAGTGAATGACTACTAAATGAGAGTAAGATAAATCAACTACTAAAAAATGAACACTGACACTTAAATAATACCATAATAGGCATCAAAATATAACAAAGGATTAATGAAATATCATTGGCTTCTATCATTCACCCTACTCCTCTAACTTATCGAGAAAGAAAGCTTCTCTATGAAAAAGATGTTAGTAATGTTTTTATGTTCTTAAATTCCACAATACTTACGACATCTTTTTCTTCTTTTATTTGTTGGTGGAATAGAATATGATGGTTAGTCTTTCTGAGGAAAGTGGTCAAATTCTAATTCTTTTTTAAGTGACTAACATCTGAAATGTTCGCAACAACTTTCTCCAGAATACCAATCAGACTGCCATAAATCACTAAAGGGACTGAACGCAAAATACTCTTCCTTTCTCTCCCCATTGCACTACTTCTTTTATGCTAAAAACAGATGTGGATCACTTCAGAGATTTAATGGCTTTTACAGAAAGAGGTGGACTGTTTCAAAAACATGGTGTTGGGAGTTTTACTAAATAAAATTTGAAATTACTGGAGCCAAGAATATTCAACTTTTTACTCTAGAAATGGATCACATTCAAAGACTCCCCAAAAAACCCCAGTAAATTAATCTTTAGAAAGACAATTTACCACCTAATACTCGTTATAGCACATTCTTTGCCAGCTTTGTTTGTACTTTATATATTAATTGATTGAATCCCCACAACCACCCTAGGAGATGGGTGTTAATATTGTCATGCCCATTTTGGGAATGAAGAAACTGAGACACGAAAAAGATAAATTATTTGTCCAAGGTTCTAAGAGAGAATGTGAGGGGGCCAGGATTAGAATCCAGGCAGTTCAGCTAAGGCATGAAATTTGGATGCAATGTAAGAAATTTAAGAAAGGGCTTTTTCTTTGGGCATGGGGGTAAGGGGGAAGGGTTGTGCACATATTAGTATATTCTTCTTCTTTGGCCATATCATTACTCCTCAGCATTACCTAGTGATCTTAATGTCTAACTCAGATCCTGGGAAAGGAGAAAACTCACTATTTTTAATCTATTACACATGCTTCACTTCACACGTTTCAAGAGAGAAGGAACAGTAATTATCTACTTCCCCTTGGAGTGATTCCAGGCACTAGAAGGCCAGGAGGGGGTGACCAGGGTAGTAAAAAACATCAACATCCTCTTGGAGAAATCGTGGGCTACCTTGGTTATTCAGGAGCAGTTAAAATAAAGTTATTGTGAACATTTCAGATGTTAGTCACTTAAATGGAAGTGACTGAAGAAACTGAGACACGAAAAAGATAAATTATATGTCCCAGGTTCTAAGAGAGAATGTGAGGGGGCCAGGATTAGAATCCAGGCAGTTCAGCTAAGGCATGAAATTTGGAAGCATTTAATAAATGATCATTTCATTCGATAATTCAAGGTGAACTGACCAACTTACTTAACCTCTAATCATATGTTATCTAAGAGTAAAAGTGTTACCAGACTCACACACAGGAACCCAAGTGTCCTATACCCCAGTTCTGACTTCTTCTGAGTAGAGATTGCAGCACCTCCCAAAATACAATAATTGCAAAATCTTTAAATCTAAGAAATCATGATGGTCAAGCAAAACAGCTTCAGTTATCCACTAATTTTACAAGGCAAATTCAAACCCCTTCAGTAAATCAGAATGTAAGCAGGTAAAAATACATTAGGACCTAACAATGTCAGCTATAGGCCTCATTAAACCATACAATCTTATACGGATTTACAGGTAACTGTTCTAACACGTTTGGGCCTTACACACATTATATTTCTAACGGCAAGTTCTAACTGAACCCTTTAATGAACAGTGTGACTGTGACTACAAATAAAAGTTGGCCTAATAAATGAGAAAGAGAACCCCCCCCCCCCAAATCTGTAAAGAATCTGAGAAATGGATTATTTGTGTATTGTGGAAAGCATATAGTGTGCTATTTAATAGTTCACAACGTTTTCATATATAATGTTACCTTGTTGAATTCTCAAATGGCTGTGGAGTACATATTATGCCCATCTTAAAGATGAGGAAACAGGCTCAGAGAATTTTAGTGATTTGCTTAAGATGATACAGTTTGTAGTGACCCAACCAGGACTGAAATATGAGTCTTCCCACCTCTGCTCATTCTAAAACTGCAGTGCATACACTTTATGGGGAATCTTAAAATTGTTTAGATCTCCAAATGTCATCTGTAACTATATTCTCTAAAATCAGTACTAACTTTAAATAGCTACAATATGAATCTCAGCTTAGGACAGTTTTAGGTAAATCCAGAACTATACGCTTAAAAATTCTAGCTACAAAACAGATAAAATGCTTAAATTATTCCTATTTTTGGATCAAAACCAACCAAAGAATTAAATTTATTAATACCACAAAACAAAACATGAATGGTTGCTGGGTAACTTTTGAAGATCCCTGGCCAGCAACCCAATTGTCTCCTGGGGACTCTGTAGACTGCCTGCTTTTAGAAGGAGGACACAGGGCCAAGAAGAGTGTCGGTATCCCGTGGAACTCACCCATACATAGACCTAAGAGCAACTCATCTCCAGAAGCTATGGTGACGATCTAGTGCTGAGACTGGAGCAAAATCTCATCAATCAATTTCTAATTTGCTAAGCTACCATTTGGATCACTTGGTTAATTGCTGAGCTGAAGTTAGTTAACACTTGTGATATCTATCCATAAAAATGGGGTTATAAAAAATGAATAATGTCAATATCTGAAGGAGGTTTACTTAGTATTTACAAAGAAGAATACTAAAAACCTTACATTGTCCATTTCCATTGACAAGAAATGATGCGGCTGTAATCTAAAGACAGATCTACCCTGCTGTGACCCAGCACGACTTTATGGAGGCTGCTATGTGCTTTGCACAGAAGAGATAAAGGACAAAAGAAGGATGGTGCTTACACTCAAGGAATTTACATTCTAGTTAGACAGAGACAAGCTGTATTTGGACTAAAAAGCAGGAAAAAACCTCACATCATCATATAATCGAGAACTAGATTGTACGATCAGAGAGAGCATAGTTACTCTAGAAAAACAGGGAACGGAAATACCACACAGTATTCCCTTACCTCAAGTCATTCATATATATAAAATTGCACTTATAAAATAATCTCTAAATTACACAGGACCGGCCCAGCCAGGTAGCTTAGTTGGCTAGAGCCTCGCCAAGGTTGCGGGTTCAATCCCCGGTCAGGGCACATACAAGAAGCAGCCAATGAGTGCATCAATGAGTGCAACAACAAATTGATGTCTCTCTCTCTCAAATCAATCAATAAAATGTTTTAAAAAAGTAAATTACACAAGCTTCAAGCCATGATGATGACAGTGTACTATAGGTTCACTTAAGCTTAAAACTATAAGGACCCAAAGTTAAATTTGGCTTTCTGTGACTTTACCTTAAAAGTGTTAGGGCACTGGTTTCCAAATATAAAGTTATCACTGGTCTACAGTGATTAAAAAGTATATGGAACAACTAAATATAAAAAACCCCCAACAATCTGACTTAAAAATGGGCAGAAGATCTAACAGACATTTTTTTCATTGCTTATGAAAATACACAGATGGCCAACAGGCACATGTAAAGTTGTTCAACATCACAATGAGATATCACTTCATGGGTACATCAGAATGACTATTAGCAAAAAGACGAAAAACAACAAGTGTTGTCGAGGATGTGGAGAAAAAGGAACCCTTGTGCACTGTTAGTGGGAATGTTAACTGGTGCAGCCACTATGGAAAAAGGTATAGAGGTTCTTCAAAAAATTAAAAGCAGAACTACCATAGGATCCAGCAATTCTACTTCTGGGTATTTACGTGAAGAAAAGAAAAACACTACATCAAAAAGAAATGTGTACCCCTATGTTCACCGCAGCATTATTCGCAACAGCCAAGATATGGAAACAACCAAAGTGTCTGCTGATAGATGAATGGATTAAAATAATGTGGGAGACTATATATGATGGAATATTACTCAGCCATAAAAAAGAAATGAAATCTTGCCATCTTGTCATTTGCAACAACACAGATGGACCTGGAAGGTATTGCACTAAGTGAAATATGGCATGATTTTACTTACATGTGGAATCTAAAAAAATAAACTAATAAAACAGAAGCAGACTCATACATACAGAGAACAAACTGGCTGTTGCCAGAGGGATGAGGGGTAGGAGGATGGGTGAAACAGCTGAAGGAGATTAAGGGCTACAAACTACCAGTTATAAAATAAAGAAGCCACAGGGATGTAACAAGCAGCATAGAGAATATAGTCAATACCACTGTAATTAATAACTCTGTATAGTGACAGAAAGTAACTAGACTTATTATGGTGGTGAACTTGTAATTTATATAAATATTGAATCATGAAGTTGGATACATGAAACTAAGATAATATTGTAAGTCAATTATACTTCAATAAATTTTTAAGTATAGAGACACAGTAGGGAGTTTTTCATAAAATTATTCAACTTAAAGAATTGTCCTTTA